CACCAGGGGACCCCGACACCCTTTCCCTTACTTCTCTCATGGCATGTTGACCAGGGCCTGTCTACCACATGCCAGGTCTGCTAGATACTAAGGACGTCAATGAACCAGATACTCTGCCTTTAGGGTCCCTCAGTCTAAAGAGGAGGATAGACAAGTAAACTAGTAATGTAAATATGACACTACAAGTGGTAGAGTAGAGGAGATGCTAACTGTGAGGCACACAGTAAGTGCCCCTTGAATAAATAACAAAGCAGCGAGCCTAAGAATGACAGCGAAGTGGATCAACAAGTACATCAGTGGTTGGTGTAGGAACAAAGAGGAAAGAGTAATTGCTTCTCAGCAGTGAAGGAAACATTTTAGCTGTGGCTTGAGAGATTAATAGGCAGAGAGGAGGAAAGGTGTTCCAGGTAGTGAAGTAAGAACAACAGGTACAAGAGCACATGGTGGTATGTCAGGGGAGCCACACGTAGTTCATTTTGGCCCTAAGTGTTCAGTGCAATGTTGGAGAGGAGGGAGCCAAGGCCAAAGAGGCCAGGAGGGCCAACTCTCTCAGGATCTCACAGTTTGCCTTACTTACCCCACTTCCTCATGACATAGCCCCACCTCTGCCCACTAACTCTGAGCTCCTTGAAGGCAGGCAGGTTCTGTGGGCCTCAGGACAGTGTCCCCTAAAGTTGGGGCACAGCAGATGTCTATGATGGAGATGCCAAATCACTGGGTGTTTGGGGCTTCTCTTCCTTGGCCAGTTTATGCGGTACCGGAGTAGCAGTGTCCTCTCTCATGAAGAGGTGGGTGATGTTCTGCAAGGTGTGGCTTTGGCTGACCTGTCTACCCTCTCGAACACCACACTCCAGGCCCTGCATGGCTTCTTCCAGCAGGTGGGTGGGAAGGGGAGGCCATGCAGCCACTGTAAAGCTAGATCCTCAAGACCATCTTCTCTTGGAGGGTGGGAGCTCTAACCACAGCAGCCAAGGAATGGGAGGCTGGAAGTACAGAGGATGGAGGCAGTTAGGGCCTAAGTGGAGTGGGCACCGAGGAGGCCTGTCTTCCCTGCCCTCTTCTCCCTGCAGCTCCAGAGCATGGGACACCTGGCTGACCACAGCATGGCCCAGACCCTGCGGGCCTCTTTGGAGGGCCTTCCCCTTAGCACCTCCTCAGGCCAGCCACCCCTGCAGGACATGCTGTATCCTTTCTTGCATCTGGGAGCCTTGGCCTGGGCAAGCTTTCCCAGGCCGTAAGAAGCTGTGGCATCATGCTTCAGGACATAGGTGCACTATAGTCTTGTCTTCTAAAGTAAGCAGGGGTCAGTGAGGATAATTAACAGTGTTGACAACAGCAATGCCGTGTCCTGTTAATATTAAGTTCCTACAAAGACCAGGCACATTACAAGCATTATATATATATGTATGTATAAATATATATTTTTTTATTTTGAGATTCTCTCACCCAGGCTGGAGTGCAGTGGCACAATCTTGGCTCACTGCAACCTCCACCTCCTGGGTTCAAGCAATTCTCCTGCCTCAGCCTCTTGGGTAGCTGGGACTACAGGCGCCTGCCACCAGGCCCAGCTATTTTCTTTTTTTTGTATTTTTAGTAGAGACAGGGTTTCACCATATTGGACAGGCTTGTCTCGAACTCCTGACCTTGTGATCCGCCTGCCTCAGCCTCCCAAAGTGCTGGGATTACAGGCGTGAGCCACCATGCCTGGCTACATGCATTATATTTAATCCTCACATCAGCTAGGAGTGTTAAGGTAGTTGTAGTACAGGTTGAGCATCCCTAATACAAAAATTAGAAATCCAAAGTGCTCCAAATCTGAAACTTTTTGAGTACTGATGTGATGCTACAGGTGGAAAATTCCATACCTGACTTCACGTGATGAGTTGCAGCCAAAATGTAGTCAAAACTTTGTTTCATGCATAGGCCAAGTGCGGTGGCTCATGCCTGTAATCCCAGCACTTTAGGAAGCCTAGGCAGACAGATCACTGGAGGCCAGGAGTTTGAGACCAGCCTGGCCGACATGGTGAAATCTCATCTCTATGAAAAATACCAAAATTAGCTGGGTGTGGTGGCATGTGCCTATAGTCCTAGCTACTCGGGAGGCTGAGGCACAAGAATAGCTTGAGTCGGGGATGTGGAGGGCAGTGAGCCGAGATCACACCACTGTACTCCACCCTGGGCGACAAAACAAGACTCTGTCCCAGAAAAAAAACAAAAAATTTTGTTTCATGAATAAAATTATATTTTTAATATTCTTTTATTTATTATTTTTTTTAAGACAGCATCTTGCTTTGTCACCCAGGTTGGAGTGCAGTGGTGTGAACATAGCTCATTGTAGCCTTCACCTCCTGGGCCCAAGGGATCCTCCCGCCTTAACCCTCCAAGTAGCTGAGACTGCAAGTGAGCTACACCAGTCTCAGCTACTTGAAGGTAGCTCCAAGTAGCTCTCATGCCTGGCTAATTTTTGAAGTTTTTTGTAGATACAGGGTTTCACCATGTTGCCCAGGCTTGTCTCAAACTCTTGAGCTCAGGTGATCTGCCTGCTTTGGCCTCCCAAGTGCTGGGATTACAGGCATGAGCCACCGTGCCTGGCCCATGAACAAAATTATTTAAAACACTGCATAAAATTACCTTCAGGTGTCCAGACGTGTGGCTCACGCCTGCAATCCTAGCACTTTGGGAGGCCGAGGTCGGTGGATCACCTGAGGTCAGAAGTTCCAGACCAGCCTGGCCAACATGGTGAAACCCCATCTCTACTAAAAAATACAAAAATTAGCTGGGCGTGGTAGTGTGCACCTGTAATCTCAGCTACCCAGGAGGCTGAGGCAGGAGAATCACTGGAACCTGGGAGGCAAAGGCTGCAGTGAGCCAAGATCGCACCACTGCACACCAGCCTGGGTGACACAGCAAGACTCCATCTCAAAAAAAAGAAAAGAAAGCTTGGGGGCTGGGCACAGTGGCTCACACCTGTAATCCCAGCACTTTGGGAGGCCAAGGTGGGTGGATCACTTGAGGTCAGGAGTTCTGCGACAAGCCTGGCCAACATGGTGAAACTCCATCTCTACTAAAAACACAAAAATTAGCTGGGCATGGTGGTGCACGCCTGTAATCCAAGCTGCTTGCGAGGCTGACGCAGGAGAATCGCTTGAATCCGGGAGGCGGAGGTTGCAGTGAGCAGAGAGCTAAGATTGTGCCATTGCACACTCCAACCTGGGCAACAGAGTGAGACTATGTCTCCAAAAAAAAAAAAAAAAAAGCAAGCTTTTTGGGGGGCTGTGGCAGTGGTCAGAGGCCCTCTGGTGGGTGGTTGCACCCAGAGACACTGCAGTCCAGAGGTGTGTGTGAGGGTAGTTTGCTTCCTCCGCACCCCTCTGGCTGCCTCCCTGGCTCTCCTCCTTGCCCCTTCCTTGGACTAGTTCCCTGTTGAATAGCAACTACCTAGCCCAGGTGTTCAGGACCCAATTTTAGAATCCATCCCACTATTCTCAGGAGCACCTCTGTTCCTGCCTGACCATTCTTGCCTGTTTTGGGCTCTGGAAGTGTGATGCCCCCATGGTTGGCCCTACCTCTCTGCTGTTTTCCTCTCATGTTTTGCTGCCAGCTGCCTGGGAGGGGTGGCTGTATCCCTGTCCCACATCAGAAACTGATCCTCAGGACTTGAAGGCCCAGAAATGGAGAGAGAATGAGACCTGGAGACAGAGAGCATAATTGTTGAGGAAATGGATGACAGTTGAAGCTATTCATATGGAGCCATATACACTCCATTGTTGAAACAGAATAAGGAAATAAAATGATACACTCACATACCTGCGTGGGCTCTCCAAAAACACCGTACTGCCTTGTCTACCAGGAGCTGGTTTCTCAGCCAGTTGGATAGGGGATTGTTTCAGCAAGGAGACTGATGGCCTCCTCAGGGAGGGAGGGACGGGACAGGATTCGTTCTTGAAACAGCACTCAGGGAGTCAGCTGGGTGCCTCAGCTGTAGTCAGAGAACACCAGTCAGGCCATCCTGGGGCTGGCAGGGCAGAGAAAGGCCTACGGGTTGGGGCTGCTGCGATCCAAGTGCTCCGAGAGGCAGTTGACCTCCCTCGCCTCACATGGAGGTGGATAGAGGTAAACTTTCCAGGCAAGGAGGGTCAGATTCTCAACTTTCCTATCAGAACGAAACTGTCCCAGCCTCAGCCCTTCCCTGGCTAAAGTAGGTCCCCTCTGTCCCTTCCCATACAGCCATCATCGGAACTGGTGTTTATGCACCCTTGTGGGTAAATCTTGGGAATGCATGTCCAGCTCGGCCCCCGGCATGAGGTCTGCGCTCAACCCAGAGCGGGCCTCTAGCTCCCTTTCCCCCCGGCAGGGGCCCCGGGCCCGGAGATGGCCACGCCACGCTGCCTCCTCGGGTCTGGCTGTCCTGATCCTGCGTAAAAGTGGGGCTGCACTCGGCCTAACGAACGGACGGGGAAGCCCCCGACGCACTTGGTTTATTAGTTGGACCGGAGGGGCAAGCAAGGGATTCCCGAACCCTGCACTGCGTCTGTGTGAGGTCCTTAAAAAAGAAAAAAAGTGCTAGTCACTGCCCACTAAAGTCACCTTGCGATCTAAAATCTAAAAACTCGGCCACAGACGACACAGTTTCGAGGAGGGCGTGCAAAAGGTCACCCGGCCGACAGGAGCTGGGGCCCCTGTTTGCTGATTCACACCTTAAATTGGGCACAGACCCCACCTGCAGATTTAACTTCCTTCAACCCAAGCTAAATCCAGGGCCACGTACCCGGTGCCCGCAGGAGGGGTAGGACGAGGCCGGGACAGACAGCGCGCTGGAGGTACGCCAGAGTCGGGCGGGGCGGGGCGGGGCGGAGCGGGGCGGTGGGGCGGGGCCGGAAGTGAGGCCAGCGGAGCCCGGCGTCGCGGCTCGCGCTCATTGGCCGGGAGCAGCGCGGTGGGCGGGACGGCGCTCGGCGGTCTGCTCTTGGTTGCTAGCTGGGTGCTGCTGCTTTCAGTGCCTTTGCTGTTAGCCTCTTGGAACTTCGAGCCCAGCTGCTCGCACAGGACTCGGCCACCTGCCCTTCCTGCACCGCCTGGCCAGGTAGGTGGCGGTAGGGGCGGGGGGCTGCAGGTTCCTGGGGAGGATAATGAGAGAACCGAGGGCCCCGAACCGGCCGCAGGTGGTGGGGAGGGAGTTTCGTGAACCTGGACGCCTCTGTTCCTTGAAAGGGCTCGCTCCCTCCTCCGGGAGCCCTGAAGGCTCGGGGTCAACCACCCGGGCCCCCGACCCCGGTAGCCGACTCAAGGCCTGCCACTACCAGGTACCTTGCAGGAGTTCAGAGCCTCATGCTGAGCCAGGAGGAGCTCCGGGGGACGCACAGGGCAGGATCGGGATTGAGAGGCTGAAAAAGTAAGTGTAACAGTAGAGAAAGCAGGACCTGTCCCGCAGTCTGCTGTTCTGGGTTTTCTTTCCCACTTCCCTGCTTCAGTCATTGCCAGCTGTCTGGTATTCTCCTTGTCTCCTAAAGTTTTGCCCTAGCCTGGTTCTGGTTCCCTTGAGTTTGGAGCAGGAGGTGGAATGTGGGGGGTCCTGGGTGAACTTGAACTATTCCTTCTCTAGGTTTCACTTACTCGTCTGCTTCGGGGTAGAGGGTTCTCCGGATGACCTCTGGAGCCCCTCACTGTCTGTAACTGAGCATCTCTCCTCTGGGGCAGATCTCCTGGTAGTTCAGTAGCCAACTCTGATCTCAGGTAGCCTGTGCTCATTTAGGAAGAGTCAGAAGACAGAGCACTGGACTTAGAGCCAAACAGACTCTTGGTTCGGCCTGGAAATAGCTGTGTGACTTTGGGCAGTCACCTCATTTTTCTGTGCCTTGATTTCACATTGGTAACATTGGGGAGTTGTAATCTGAGTGTGAGAGCTCTCCTGACCACTGTATGTAATCTTGCACCTGACTGACACCCTCTCATCCTTCTGTGATTGTTTTTCAAATGTATTGATTGTTTTTTATCCCTACTAGAGACCTAAGTACCATGAGTGCAGAGATTTTTGCTTGTCTTATTTATTGCTGTATTCCTGCTTCTAGAACAGTGCCTAGAATGTGGTAGGTACTGTCAACCTAAATAACAGAGTGAGAGACTCTAAAAAAATGATGTTTACTTGGGAATAGACATTGTAGTGAGAATATGTGTGCCATAGTAACCTCTGTACGTATTTGGTAAGGTTTTGAAAGGAAAAATGAGGATTGCATAATTATTTTGAGATAGTTATCCTTGGCTACCAGGATGAATAGTAAGAGTGGTGCCAGTCTGAGGTTGGACAGGCAGTTGCAGGGCAGATGTCCTCACAGAAATATTTTTCTGTGTAAGTCTGCAATGGTCTCTGTGCAGGGTTGTGGTTTTTGCATTTTTTCTGATCTTGTTATCAGTCATTTGTGCGTGAGAACCCTCTTTTCATGACCTTCCTTGGTTTTGTCAGAGTTGTTCTTGTTTTTTTCCCATTGGAGAATCATGCTTTAAATTTGTCAGAGTTTTTAACACAAACGACTCTGTTTTGATTCTAACAGCTTTCATATTTCCCCCTTTTGGTCAAGATCTTTCTCCAAAAGACTTATGACCGGTCATCCTGTAGTTAGGTCCCCCAGTGCTGGGATGGACCTATCTTGGGTTGTTGGTCTCTTGCCACGTTGAAGGGAATTATTGGTGACTAGGAGTCAGTATCAAAACCCTTGTAGTGGCTGGGAGCAGTGATTCACGCCTGTAATCCCAGCACTTTGGGAGGCCAAAGAGGGAGTATCACTTGAGTCCAGAAGGTCGAGACCAGCCTGGGCAACATGGCAAAACCCTATCTCTACAAAAAATACAAAAATTATCCAGGCAGGGCTGGGCATGGTGGCTCATGCCTGTAATCCCAGCACTTTGGGAGGCCGAGGCGGGCAGATCATGAGGTCAGGAGATCGAGACCATCCTGGC